CTGATTTGGTGCCAATGTTTCTGATGAAAAGGATTTTATAATTTTATTTTATTTTTCACTGAGATAATGGCAAGATAAGATAAAAACTTGTGTTGTTTCCTCAAACCCAATATCATTCTGATCACCTCTGAGAATTGCTCCAGAAAGGATCCTTCCAATCGGAGAGTTCTCCTGCCTTCCTCAACATGTTTCACAATATCTCTCTTTCTGCAGGTGATTGTCATGGCTTGCCGGGAAGTAGAAATGGGCAAGGTGAGAGCTAGTAACTGAGGAATGGCATCGGGAAGCAGGAAAGCTTCCTTCTGCTTCCCTCCAGGCTTGTGGCTTGATGGGGAAAGTGTTGTCAGAATTTTAGCTAACCTCCTTTTTTTTCCTCTAAAAAAAAATCAGAAAAAGTGTGAATGTTACTGGCCTTCTTCAGAGGAAGCCTTGCATTTTGGACCCTTCTCTGTGGCACAGGTGAGATGATTATATCTGGGTAGGCAGCAAGCAATGTTGAGGAGGAGGAATTCAAGCCATAGCAAGCTACATTGCTTCCCTAGTCTAGCAGAGACATCTGCACCACTCACCACAGCTTGATTAAGGATCAAGATTTCTCATTCAGAAATTCTGGAAGTGTAATTAAGGAGTGAAAGAAATTGCCTGGTAATTCAAGCCAGGCCGGCATTCAGCCAACCCGATAGAAGTTCTCAGGCAGGCCAATAAAAATAGATGATCATTCCTGGTTTGCTCATTGGAGTTTCAAGGCTGAATTTAGAGCACTCACAGGAAGTCTAATAAGACCCAAAGTTGGGTATTGAGAATATCTTGAACAACCGCCAAAGCAGAAGATTTGCTTGCTTGGCAGAGCTTACCAATGCTTATGTCTGTGTTGAGTTCAGCCATGGTTTGAGGGCTGAATCTTCAAGCTACCATTTGATTGCTCTCATTCCCAGGGCACTGTGGGAAACTTAAACTTTAAAATAGAAGTTCTGTCCATAGCCACCTGTTGCTGCCACAGCAGAAAAGAGATCCATTACATGGGACTTTGACAAGCCTATCTTTAAATTTAAAGCTAGGCTTATTTAGATAAAAGCTGTTATTAAACAAACCCCTGATTCAGCTTTCCCTTACCTACTGCCCTTTAAATGCATTGAACTACAATCCCCATTGTTCCCCAATCAGCAGAGCCAGTGACATAATACTTTCCAGACCTAAGTTAATTTATGATCATCCATTTCTTATGTTGGTGAACTGAATGATACACATGCTACTGTTGATCAATTACTTTGTTACATAACTTCCATACAGATCTCTCACTGTTCTACCTATGCCAGACATGTCAAACTCGCGACGTCACGTGACGTCACGCAATGTATCGGAGCTTTTTTGCCATTGCCGGCAATTGGGTGGGCGCGGCTCCAGTATGACGAAACCGGCCCGCGGGCTGGCAGTTTGACACCCCTGACCTATGCTGTAGGAAAAAAAGCATAATTGACTAGAGCTGCAGAAATCTCAACTATTGTCAGAAATCTACGACCATTGGATGGGGGGTTAATTTAAAAGATTTTTAAAAAGCCCTCTCAACTCTTTCCTCTCCAGGGTTTATTTTGGATGTTTGCAACTGAGGGAAAAGGAGAATCCCCAAATTCAGACATCACAATGATTTTGAGCCTGTTTTCTTTTCTCTGCCTTAGGTCAAAGAGCAGGAACTTAACCCAGATGTCATTTTGCGGGTACTTACCCTGGCATTTCAGCAGGTGAGTTTGCATTTTATAGATTCAGATCCAATTCATTTCCTGAAACTCTACAGAGTTTGAGATCAGCTGTCTACACTGCACAAAAGAAAAATGTAATGCTAAAAGAAACACACATGCACGTTAACTGTAGTCATACATATAAATCCTGGCCAGATACACACACTGTCAAGGAAAATCAATTTGCTAACTTCTTCAAACAAACACACAAACATACAAAACACAGACAAATGTCATTTGCACTTCCCACTGCCTCCTTTGACCTTGGAGGATGGCATTAATACTATACAGTTGTTATATTTAATATTTTAATGCATTTTTTAAAAAGGGGACCTTTGTGGGAGGCAAGGGTGCTATTTGCGGGCAGGTTAATACTTAGGGGCTCCAAGTTGCGAACCCCAGTTGTAAAGAGGTCTTTCCAAAATACCAGTTCAAAAGTTTTGTGACTGTATTTGTGAGATTTGATATGTTTGTGAACCTGATTCATATATACGCTTCTGTAATATAATATTTTATCACATGAAAGTGTTAAATGGAGTGTCTCCTCATTGATTTATAGTACAAATGTAAGTGATTACTTTTCTGATCTCAGGAAGAACGGGTGATTTCCCATTTCCAGTATGTGGCTTGGCCAGACCGAGGCATCCCAGACACTTATGGTTACTTCCTCAACATGATTGAGCAAGTGAGATTCAAGCAGGGTGAGGACACCGCACCCATCTGCGTGCACTGCAGGTACGGGAGGATTTGGTGGCAAGGCCCTGTAGAAAGACCACATTGCTGACTTACTAAATAAATGTAACAACTGAACATGAGAAAACAGGCTTTATGAATGAACGAATGATTAAAGGATGCAGAGAGTAGGAATATATTGATAATTTTTTCACTGAAGATGTTAGCCCTTCAAGATAATCTAGACAAGAAACACAATTATGAGTTAGCCCTTCAAGATAATCTAGACAAGAAACACAATTATTAACATGAGGGTCCCCAAACTCTCATTGATCCCTTCATGAATTTTCAGATTGTTCATCAACCCCCAAACATTTATTATATGAAAACTAATTTAATAATACTATTTTAATAACACTATGAATAATCACGATATGAATTATCCCTGTGGTTATCGGCATACTGCATGCCATACCAAAACCTCTTGGATGGCACTTAGAAAATCAGTGCACTGATAAAATTTTCACTTGTCAATTACAAAATGCCATACTGCTTGGATATGCACATATACTATGCCAATACATTACAACATCCTAGGCTTTTGGGAAGAGGTCAGTGAGTGTGAAGGCCAACAGCAGCTAAAAAACTGGCAGTTGTGATTTCACATTTTTGTTTACATAATAATATTTGATAGCCCCATCAACCCTTGAGAGTCAATACTGACCACTTCGAAGAACCATGCATTAACAGAATCTTGCAGGACTAAGAGAATTTCTCCTTTCCTTTTACTATTTCTCCCCCTCCGCCCTCAATATTTCTCCCCTCTTTTTACTTTCCAGAAAATTAGGGAGGGTCCCTTTGCTGGTCTGTGACCATAATAAAAATGGATTGATTAAATGATTGATTGATAGGGAGGGTCTCTTCTGAAACCCTTCCCACGCCCCCCTCCTTCTGTGGACGGACATATCTTTTATATGACAGTTGTCCATGTGCCTCCTCCTCCTGTTTCCCAAGGTCATTCCCACATGCCATGGTAGAAAGACATAGATCATCATCTTCCTCTGGAATATATACAGGTAGTCCTCAACTTACAATCGTTTATTTAGTGACCGTTCAAAGCTACGATGGCACTGAAAAAAGTGACATCATTTTTCACACTGACAACCTTTGTGGCAGCCCCATGACCATGTGGTCAAAATTTAGATGCTTGGCAACTGGTTCATACTTATGACTATTGCTGTGTTCCAAGGTCATGTGATCACTTTTTGATAAGCAAAGTCAATGGGGAAGCCAGATTCACTTAATAACTGCAGTGATTCACTTAACAGCTATGGCAAGAAATGTAAAATGGGGCAAAACAACAGAAATTTGGGGCTTGTGGTCGTACATCGAGGGCTACCTGTGTTAGGATTCCTTGAGTTTTTCCTTCAGTAAGGGTAGTCTTCAACTTATGACCACAACTGAGCCCAAAATTTATTTTGCTAACTAAGAAATTTGTTAAGTGAACTTTGCCCCGTTTTATGACCTTTCTTGACATGCTCATTAAGTGAATCAATGCAGTTGTTAAATTAGTAACACGGGTTGTTAAGTGAATCTGGCTTCCCCCATTGACTTTGCTTCTCTGACGTTGCCAAAGGGGATCACATGACCCCTGGGGACACTGCAACCATCATAAATGTGAGTCAGCTGCCAAGCATCTGAATGTAAATCACATGACTGTGGGGATGCGTCAATGGTCATAAATATGAAAAACAGCCATAAGTCACTTTTTTCAGTGCCCTTGTAACTTGGAAAGTCACTAAATGAACTGTTGTAAGTCAAGGACTACCTGTATTTGTTTGCCACTATAATGGTTGGATTATTCGAAAAGATATTACTATACAAATCAGTAGTGGGGAATTATGTTGATCTTAAATTGTGAGAAGATAAGGGTAAATAGTGAGGTGGTCATATTTAGAGCAAAGGGGGGCAACTCACAAACTCCTTTCTTGTGATCCCCAGAATTCCCTGAAATCGCACCACCAAAATTAGACAGGAAGCAGTAACAGCAGAATTGACTTTAGATCTAAAACAATCAAATCTAACACAAATGAGGCAAAAATTGTCAAAAATCCCAATACACTCCCTTCAGTGATATCAACACCACAACACAGTAACTCTTAAATTAATTGCCTATAAAAATTCCACCTTAAGCTACAAAAGAATCCTATGCCCTCATTTAGGGAGAAGATCTAGGCAAACTGCAAAGAACTCCAGAAATACTGGATAAATGTCTAAGAAACATCCATCGTTGCACTGTAGAACCTGCCCAGTCATATCTGCAAGATTCCAGAGGGTTTTGTTTAGATCCTTTCTCGCTATTTCCTTCTCCTCTTCCTTTCCTTATAGTGCTGGCTGCGGTCGGACAGGTGTGATTTGTACATTGGAATATGTACGGCAGCTGCTGCTTAAAGAGGTACTTGGACCCTACTAAGCAAATTCACCAAGAAAAAAGTAAAGAAGTTGATTTCTTGGTAAACTGGATCTGACTTTGTGTGCGTGGCTTTTTATTTTTATTTCTGGCCTGTGTCTATGCTGATATAACATAGATCCTCCCAAATGCCTTGGGCTATGAGATTCATACTATCTACTACTATGGAGATATAGGAATTATAGTATAATTTATTGGGAGAACATCAACTTGGAGAAACCTGAGTTGCAAAAATATTAAGGCATATGATGAGGAAGAGAAGATGTTCAGTAACACATACTGTATGTCTGAAGCATTTGCACATATAGCCCTTTAATATGATTATCTGCATACACTTCCAAGCAATGAGACATTCCAGGTTGCCACGATTTATTTGGTGTACATTTTACCTCAGAAGAGGTCATAAAAGCAATTGGTGGCATTTAATCACATAAAGCATATCCCTATATAGTGCTTAGCCACATATAGGGATCAAAACTAAATAGCCAGTGCTTTTTTTCTATAAAAAAAAAAAAAAAAAAAAAGGTGCCGGAACTCACACACGTCATCTAACCTGCCTTGCCTACCCTACAAGGTTCCATCCAAAAAAGGTGCCGGAACTCCGTTCTGGGCATTCTATGACAAAAAAAGCCCTGTAAATATCTATTCAAAACCTGTCAGTAGCAGAGTGTGTTGGAAAGTTCTCTAAACCTCTGTTCAAAACCTGGCAACTCCATGCAGCCTACCAGACAGAGAAAAAACCTCAATAGTAGCAGTGAAGAATAACTGAGAGCTGGGAGGAGTGGGTCTGCACCAGTTTGAAACGGTCAACAGTATCACACTTCTCCTTCCCCAAGGATTCCCTGACTGTGCCACTGTCAGAATAATCAGCAAAGTACATTAGATTTTACACATCTTGGAACTGCTGTAGGTTACTGCCTGCTCCAGGAAAAAAAACCCATGTTTAAATATTGAAAAAGATAAGCATGAATTAAACCATGAATCTGATTCATGAGTTGTGGCAAACTAAAATCATGCTGTACAAACATAGCAGAAGGAAGATGGGGGTAGTGGGGGTAGTGGCGTGTTTGTATCCGTTAGATGCAAATGGGGAAAGGTCTATAGTCCTGATTCTTTTTCTTAAGAATTGACTAAGTGGACAAAAGCTTAACCTCTGACTGGATTATGGTGTTCCCATGCATGTATTCCAAAGGGAACTTTCTTTGTCCCATGCAAATAACAGTGGCAAACACAGTGTATAGGATTAAATACCCTTCAACTTTACCCAATCCAAATCAAAAGATGATTGCAGTAAGTGGTGGCCCAATTTTTTGCTCACCCATTCATCATCAAGGTACTTCTTGTTCTCAGAAAAACTTCCTGAGTTGCTGGTCCTTCTTTTCATGCAGACAGCTTCTTATTTAGGTACTCTCAAAACTCAAAGAGAACTATAACTGAAAGGAATAGTAAAATAATTAGCCTATGCGTACATATATGCAGATAACTTCTGTTTGATAAGGCACGGTTAAGATCCAGATCCCACTCTGATGGTGTTCCAGGTAGGCTTTGAATATGTAATTAATTCTCCTAGACCTTGAGGTAGAAGGGTAGTTAGTCCATAGAAGATTTGATTTTGTTTGACCTGGATTTTCTTCTGCTGGACAGACATCTCTTGTTCTTATACTTTATTGTGCAACTTTTTATAATTTAAAACATCCAGAGTCATTGAGAATCGGGCATTTTTTTAAACTTATGCATAAATCTATACATAAATTAATAAGTTGCTCTGTGAAAAAAAAGTGTCCTCATTTGTCAGTTTTTCATTCTTTTTCAGAGGATTTCTCCATATTTCAGCATTTTTGATATAGTCCTAGAAATGAGGAAGCAGAGGCCAGCTATTGTTCAGACCCAGGTGAGTCGCATAGCCAACTCAAGATATTTGACTGAGGCAAAATACCAGGCCTGGCCTTTTCTTACCAATATAGAAGCTGACTTCTGGTATGATATGTCTGTCATAGCTGGGAAGAACAAATTAGCGTAGGGAATACCACGCAAATAGTGAAACTAATTTCTGAAAATAATGCACTTAAGATCTCAGAGGGACTAAATCATTACATTCTACCTGAGTCTAAAGAGAAGTTGAATTCTGAAAATTCTTTATTCCAACCAATAATTATAATCAAAGCTAAAATAAATGCCTGGTGATAGGTCTGAAGATATAGATAGTCCACTTTTCTCAACAGGAAACTGTAATTTATGGAGTGAGAACCTTGAAGAATGTCCTTGCTAAGGGGAATTGTATGGTAACATATATATTTATTAAAATAGTAAGAGAAATTACAAGGGTATTCTTAGAAACACCACTGGATGGAAGCTAATATTGCCTTCAGGATCAGTTTTTTCCTGCTGTCAACCTATGCCTGTTTTACTGGACCTGGCAAAACTCAATGGGCACCACTGAGAATTGGTACCAAATACTTGTATGCGTGTAGGTCCACAACTACATGTAGTCCTTGACTAACAACCATTTATTTAATGATGTTACAATGGCGCTGAAAAATGTGACTTATGGTTGATTTTCACACTTTTGACCGTGGCAGTATCCCAATGGTCACATGATCAAAATTTGGGTGCTTGACAACTGGCATGTATTCCTGATTCATGACAATTGTATCGAGGTCACGTGACCACATTTTGTGACCTTCCTAGTTGCTTCTGAAAGCAAAGTCAATTAAGGAAGCCAGATTCACTTAACAACTTCATGATTCACTTTACAACTGTGACAAAAAAAATATAACATGGGGCAAAAATCACTGAACGACTTGTCTTGCTTTGAAATGGAAATTTTGGGCTCTGTTATGGTTGTAAGTCAAGGACCTACAAATCCACCACCTTCTTAGATGGCAGCAAAGAGCTAGCCTTTTTTGTATTTCCTTGCTGTCATTTAATGCAAGGGTCCCCAACCCCCAGTCCGTGGACCGGCACCGGGCCATGGACATGTCAGAAACCGGGCCGCACAAACAAGCGAAGAAGCCCCATCTGCAGGATGCGGGCAGCATGTGAAACCACGCCCCCTCTGGTCCATGGAAAAACCTCTCTCTAGGGAACCGGTCCCAGGTGCACAAAAGTTTGGGGAACACTGATTTAATGGTTGCTTACAGTTTGCAGCCTAGATACAATATCCCTATCTGCATTAATAAACTATAAGCTTATAGTTTAAAAACTATAGGTTTCCCACTCATCCGTGTCACATCTTTTCTTGGCAGGAACAGTATGAGTTTGTGTATCGTGCAGTCACTGAAATGTTCCGGGATGCCCTGGCCATTTCCTGCCCAAATTATGAAAATCTCAAAGAGGTAAGAGATGGGGCCAAACAAGCTTTTTCCACAGAGGGCATGATGGCTTCCCTGTTCTTCTATGAAAAATGGAGTTTCCCTTTAGATCTGACAGTTATGAGGCAATTTTGCTTTCTTGAAGCAACCTTACTAGAACTATTTTGAAATACTTGGTTTATAATGCAGGCAAAAATTAAATCCAGGTCCTGTATTATTCATTGCATTTTATTTGTTTAGTATAAGATATGACAATTTATCCCCATGAGGCTCAGGATTTAGATTTAGATTTCCCTCACTCATATGATCATATTAATCCCCATAGTTGTCTTTCATTTCCAAAATGTTTACTCTGGCTTTTAAAGTTAGGTCCTTTGTATTTAGTGTATTTAATTCTGAGATCAGCATGCAAAGATGAAAAAAAAAACCCACCCTCCTATCTTGTGGGTCAAAACTGGAGCTCCCATTTCATTGCTGTAATGATGCTGAGAAAGGAAGATTTAACCTTTCTTATTGCATTTTCTCTACCCAATGTTACTATTATACTATTATCCAGTTTTGGTCAATGCGATGTAAAAAAGATGTTGAGACTTTAGAAAGAGTGCAGAGAAGAGCAACAAAGATGATTAGGGGACTGGAGGCTAAAGCATATAAGGAACAGCTGCTGGAATTGGGTATGTCTAGTTTAATGAAGAGAAGGACGAGGGGGGACATGATAGCAGTGTTCCAATATCTCAGGGGTTGCCATAAAGAAGAGGGAGTCAAGNCCTGACAGTGAGAACAATTAACCAGTGGAACAACCTGCCTCCAGAAGCGGTGAATGCTCCAACACTGGAAGTTTTTAAGAAGAGACTGGACAGCCATTTGTCCGAAATGGTATAGGGTTTCCTGCCTGAGCAGGGGGTTGGACTAGATGACCTTCAAGGTCCCTTCCAACTTTACTATTATTATTATTATTATTTCTGCAAATAGGGGGAAAAATGCCACTATATAAGTATTCACCCTGGCAGGATGGAAAAAGCCCTGAGTAAATTCCCTGTTGGAGACTCTAACCTAGGGGTGTCAAACTTGCCGCATCATGTGACATGTCGCGACATATCACGACTTTTTCCCCCTTGCTGGAGCTGGGGTGGTCATGGCTTTCCACGTGATGCATCCGGCCCGCAGGCTGGCAGTCTGACACCCCTGCTCTAACCCATCATTGTCTCTCCCTGCCCTGCCCCAATTGGTTCCTCTTTTTATCTGAAAATAAAAATATTCTCCATCACCAACAGAAAAAGAGTTGCTTCTGTTTTAACTTTCTGTGAAGCTAAGCATCATGAAGGTGGTGGGCACAGCTGGCTGGAGCAGTGCTCAGCAGGGAGCCTGTCGGTTCTGCTGTGAAATGTTTAAAAAGAGAGAAACAGGTGGCCTGGAAGTTGAGAAGACTATGGTTTCACTCCAGCCAAAGTACACTTCTCTGTGTTATTCTTTATTTGTTAGATTTACATCCTGCCCCTGCTTTAGTGCAGTGATAGCCGACCGTTTGGGCTTGGCATGTCAAAAATTCAGAAAATGCCTTCCTTGACTCTGCTGGTACCTCTCTCTCTCTCTCTCTCTCAAAGTCAAACACACACACGCACACACACACACACCTCATCCATACCCTGGACAAAAGAGAAATGATTCATAATAAAGAAATACATTAAATCATTTAAATTTATTATTAAATAAATGCTTACCCACAAAGCCTGGAAACTTTGGAGAATGTTCTTGCGTGATCTTGCGGCCTCCAAAAAACAGCAAGAAAGCGCACCTCTTTATTGTGTGCCTTTTTGAAGGCTCCAGAGGCCACACAAGAGAAGCACAACAAGAGCCCCGAGGCCTGGCATACCCCCCAAAATGCCATGGCATGTCATAGCCTTAGTGGCTTCCATGGTTGAGAATAGAGATGAACCTAGGTCTTTCTGGTCACAGTCCAGCATCGTAGCTAATTCACAATTCTATACGGCATGTAAAATAGCTGGAACAGGCTATCAATGATCCTCATTTTTGCTTTCATTTCACTCTCATCATAAATTCCTCTTTCCCACACCCACACATGCCTTCTGCTATGGATTTTGAGATTACTCCTTTCTCCAGAGGTTTCCCAAGGAAAGGTCATATTATTACCATTGTCATGACTTCCGAGTCAGAAGCATTCTCGCTGTAACCCAGATGTCAAACTTGACATGAGGGTGATATCTCTTGCTCTGAACATTTCCTCCTGTGGGCTTCTAGTGCAGAAAGGGATGGGAGGACACGCTAGTGCAAATGTGGCCGTTTCAGAGCCCAGCACCCACCCACCCCCATTCATTTCTCTTCTTAGAATAGTAACTTGCAGCTGGGCAGGAAAAAAAGAGGCATCTGGTCAGCTGTTTGAATCTTTTCTACCACAGGCTTCTTTTACCCAATGAAAACTTTCTTCCAACCATCTATCTTGTTGGCTTGGAGTCTGGAGACATTTCCACAACGGGTTGGTCCTTTTACAGGAGGACACAGCTCCCCGCCTCTACAAAGGTTCTTTGTATGAAAGGCTTGTTGAACTGTTTCAGAATAATTTTATTGTTTTTCTATGTGTGTGTGTCTCTGAAATGAATCGTGGCAATTGGGTATGGGTAATATATTCTTTCTTCCACTTTTCTCCTATGCCGTCCGATCCTATTCCCTGTCTGCCACAGGAACCCAAATTCAAGCCATCCGCTCGAATGGAAATCCACTTTGGAGCAAGATACAGCTAGACCTGTCTCCTAAAACTGTACACAAATTGGTTTTGAGTTCCAGGGATATTTTAAGGATCAATTATTTATTTATAGCCCGCTTTCGTTATTTTTACAAATAACTCCGGGCGTCAAACCTATCTAATACACTTTCTTCCTCCTGTTGTCCCCACAACAACCCTGTAGGGTGGGTTGGGCTAAGAGAGAGAGTGACTGGCCCAAGGTCATCCAACTAGCTTTCATGCCTAAGGAGGGGCTTGAGCTCATGGTCTGCTTTCTAGCCTGGTGCCCTAATTGCTAGAACCAGGGGTAGGCAACCTTGGCTCCTTTATGACTCGTGGACTTCAACTCCCAGAATACCTGTGCTGGCTTAGGAATTCTGGGAGTTGAAGTCCACGAATCATAGAAGAGCCAAGGTTGCCTACCCCTGTGCTAGACCAAACTGGCTCCTTATTTGAAGTTTTCCTTCCTTTTGATTGTTTTATTGCAAATTTTCATTATTTTAATTTTAATTGTTTTGTCTTCATGTTCATTGCAAAATTAAATATGAGATAAAGACATTTGGTAGACCAAATAAGAAAATCCCAAGCTCAGGAATTTTCCGAAAGCAACAAAACCCAGGATAGGTTTTAATAAAGAATAGTAATTCAAGGAACGGTTTGAATTATTCTTTTCTCTCTTTGGGCACGGACAGGGCTACTTCAGGGTTAATCTGGCTTGTGGTAAATTTCCTGCTACAGGAAGTTCAGACAGCTGTCCTCACCTAAAACATTTTTCACTTCCCCTCTCTTTGGTTTTGCACAGAACCGTCTTCCCCTTTATGACGACGCCCTCTCCCTCCGGCAACCGGCTGCTCCCTTGCTCAAGCGAAGCTCCATCCTCCGGTAAGTGGGGGGCTGAGGGTCGGTGCCTCGGCAGTGGGAGATGGTCAGCCCTAGAAGAGCAGAGCCTTTTCTGTAATGACCCCTTGCGGGAAAAGCCAGGGATGTGTGGACGCTGGGTAATGTTAAGGAGGGAGTGAAAAGCCTTCTAATAAGGCTGATGCATACTTGTGTATGTCATGTTTTATATGGGTCGATTTAATAATTGTGCTTGTATTGTTTTGTTGTGTTTTTTTTGCCTTGTAAATGTTTGCGTTGAGTTTTAAGTCATCTTGGAGGTATGGAGGGTGATAGTGTCTTTTACTGGTGTGAGTACAGCCATTGTAGTCAGGAAAGAAGCTATACATGATTGAAGACCAATGAAGGTCTTTCTAGCCTCATTTCCCAAATATCAGCGTCAGGCCTGGGCATTTCAGAAAGGCATGTGTGGAAAATGTTCAGCTGGGCAGCAATTAGATGTACCACTGTACATCACAAAGCATATCTACTTCTAATTCTTCAATTGAGACAAATTTCACTATGCTGAAATTCTGGTATTTCGTTTCGGCCTCTCCTTTTTCTGATCTAGGAGCATCTCGGTGCCTGCTGATCCAACGCCAGCACCACTTCCTGAACAGCCAAGAAAACTTGTCAAGAACATGGGTGATACTTACGCTGTTGTGAACAAACTCCGGCGAAGTGGAGCAGGAGCTTCTTCTGTTTCTCCTGCCAGTGAGGACAAGTCCACTGGAGAGGCACAGCTTTATACAGCGGTGAAGCCACGCAATAGCAACGTGGTTGACTTTCCATCAATAGATCCCAGTGGCTTTGTAGGAGTACAGGCCAGTCACTCTCTGCCTGGAAGTCCTATACACAAGGCATCTCCAAATACAGCTTGTGAAAATGCCCATCTTAGTTCATCTCTGACAGGTGATGTGCGAGAACAACTCACTGGATATATAAATGGATATATAAATGCAGAAATATAAAATTTAGATTGGGTTTATTCATTTTGCTAAGCTAAAGAATTTGTACTATCACATATGTTTAGACGTAGATTGCTTAACTAAAGGGTTGGTTTTTTTTTTACTAAAGCACAATCCATATTACAAATTCAGCTGTAACCCACTGTTTATAAATCATGATGCTGAGGTTCATATAGCATGCTAGGAGCTAAATTCTTTTGGCTTACAGCAGTATTTTAAGTTAGCCAATATAGAGTCTGTGACTTTGCCTAAGGATTTTGTGTGCATGCATGTCTGTGCATGCTCGCACACATATTGCCTTAAGCAACAGCAAAATACATGTAATAATAATAAGCATAATTTAAAAGTACAATTCAAAGGGAAAAGAATTAAAAATGCTTGGAAACCATACGGCTAGCAAAATAGTTCCAGAAAATTTGATCCGATTAATCAAAATTCTCCTTTGTCTCTCTGGCCTAAAGCAATTAATATAAATGTTGACCAAAAGGTGCATCTCCTCAGTCCATTGATGTAATTCAGGTGCATTCCAATATTATCCATTGATGACTTTGATTCCACATAATCCTCCCTCACCTGAATGAAGAATCCATAATTGTGGATTGCTTGATCAATGTTAAGTTCTGTGTATATAGCCGAAAAGAACATGTAATTTTGACAAGCAATAATAATTTAAAGTCATATTGACAATCCTTTAACTCTAAGGCTCAATTATGGCAATAATGAAATAAGTCCAAATCATGAGTTAATGTTCCAGTAATGAATATAGTCATTTAGGGCTACATATTATGTGAACCCAGCTGTTGTTATTAGGAAACTATTCTTTATGGTTTGGCATATGGTTTTAACCAGTGGTAGAATTCAAATATGTGAACAACCGGTTCTTTGTGTGGATGCTGCTTCCAGAAGTCCATTCTGAGCCTGGGCAACAAAAAATTAGCTGCCGGTTCTGCCGAACCGGTGTGAACTGGCTGAATCCTATTACTGGTTTTAACCCAGACAATCTTGGATTGCACAGTATGCCACAACTAAACAGGTCATAGGTTAACTTTGTTTATGAAGTCAACTTTAGTATTTATGTAGCAATCAAAACTTGTCATAAACTTCATGCTTATATGAACTTTATAAAACTATCATATTTTACTAACGATACAAAAAACAGGTGTGCTAAAAGATTGCTATCTGATCTAAAGCCATTATAATTGGAATCCTGCAACTGCTTACCTTGAATTCTTTGCATTTGAGGAAGCATATGTGAACTGTTTGTCAGTTAATAGCTGAAGAAGTTTTTGAACTGGGTTTGCATTTGTACTAAGCCATAATGAGGTTTGCTTGATTTTGGCTTAATCTGATGTGGGAACCCAGCTACTGTAGGTAGCATGCAATATATGGTTTATGGGATATCATGGTCTGAACAAGTCCATTAGGCCTTCTACAACTAACCAAGCCACAATGGATGTGTGAACATCATCATAAACAGATCCCAAACTGAATTACATTTTCTTACTTGACTGTGCTAAATTAGTTCTAAACCCACTGAGGATTACAAAATGCAAGTTTAGAGAAAGAATATCTTTACTACTCTGAAAATGGATTGAATGTCAGATCTTGGCTTTTCTGCCATTTGCAACATTTAGCAGAATTCAAGAAAACGCCAAAAGGAGTCTTGCGTTATTAGGTATAGATTTTGCTCTTAGAATAAGCCAGTGAAAATATCAATAATAAATTATGAAATGGCCTAGATCTCATTGCTTATTTAAATTCTCAGTAGTGTAACTGCTAGGGTTTATTTGATTTTTTTTGGGGGGGGGACAAACTGGAATTTAAGAGATAACCTTGGGGTGATTAGGTTGGGGTTTTCTGTGTTCTTTATTCTTGTAATCTGAATAAAAATAGTTTTTTCCCCCCTTATGTCTCTTCTTCAGGAGAGTCCAGTTCTGGAGTCACCTCATCTCCATCTCATACAAATGGACTTGGGAAAAATCTTCTCAGGAATCTGATGCCCCCAGTATGTAGACTGATCTTTTTTTTTATTTCATAAGCTTACCCATAGATACCATAATATACACATCCCATTTAACTCAGGAATCTGATGCCCCCAGTATGTAGACTGATCTTTTTTCTTTATTTCAGAAGCCCTACCCATAGATGCCATAATATACACATTCCATTTATTAGTTTTTAAAAGAACTCATCTTTAACCCTTCTAGAAGTAGAGTAGTCATTATTCTGCCTATTTTGTAAGGATGGCCCATTTCTGCTTTTCAGTGAATATTTATTAATACACTGCCTGGAAAAGATATTGTAGTTCATTTCTTATGAAAAAGGGAACTTTTTTTATCATTCTCTCAGAAATATAGGATGTTGATATAGCTAGGCAATAATCATGTTGTATAGCTCCTAACCAACCTTTTGAAACAAGTGGGCGGTGACCAGGGCAAATTCATGCTCAGCTTTGGCTTAATTCACATTGAGCCAAAGAAATGAAAATAAATTTCTCTTTCCTCTTGAGTGTCATATTATCTGTTGTTGGCATGCCCACTATGCTTAACTTGGTTACTGAATTATTTCCTATTTGCACAATGCATTGAATCATAAACTCAACAAAAGAATCTTAATTTGTACAAACCCCTAATGATGATTTAGCATGTTTTGTGAGTGAAGCTAGTGACCGGACAAGCAAGCTGTGTAAACACAACTGCTGTGTAGATAGCAGGGGTGTTTGAAGAACATACAGAATACTGGATGCAACATCCAGCTAAACAAGCTTCAGCTTTGTAATTCACAGAACAAAATGAAAAGTTCTTTTTATTCAGTGTTTATTTTTTCACCTTTTGCTTCTTAGGTTTTTATCTCCTCATCTGGAAAAAAAGGTAAGAACAAATGTACTTATAGAGGATTCACCCTCTATCTGGAAGTGAGCAACAACAAGCCAACATAGGGCTGTTGCCAAGGAAACTACAAAGAGAGAACCAAAGAGTCAAGCTAAAAAAAGTATTTTCATTTATCAAATTAAATAAGAGAAGCTCACAACCTATTGAATATAAACCTTCATTCTGCCTAACTTTATGTTAGAAGTTATATTTATTAGAATTTTATCCTGTGTTTATTACTTTATAAGTAACTCAAAGTAATGGACATACCGTGTTTCCCCAAAAGTAAGGCCTACCCCGAAAATAAGCCCTAGCTTGATTTTTGGGGTGGACCTAATATAAGCCCAACCCCCAAAATAAGCCCTAGTTTTGGGGCGAGGCACACACCTAAAAATCAAGCTAGGGTGGGGGTCGGGGGGTGGATCTGCCCCACGTGCCCCGCACCCACTTACCTTGCAGCCAGGCCTCTCCTCACCCGCCCACTTCTTCTGCGATGTCTTCTGCAGCCAGGCCTGCATTTCTCAGTCACAGGCCTTCCTGGAAGGCCACTGCAGCCAAGAACCGAGCTATGGATTCAATTCATGTCCATAGCTCGGTTCTGCAAGATCTCTGCAGCCAAAGACTGAGCTATGGATTGAATTCATAGCTCGGTCCTCGGCTGCATAGGGAAGGCCTGACTGCAAAATGCAGGCCAGAATGCAGCTGCAGAATGCAGCTGATCCTTCAGCCCCAGAAGAAACGGACCTGCTGGGCGTGGCTGTCAGTGCCGGAGGTAAGACATCCCCCGAAAATAAGACCTGGTGCCTCTTTTGGAGGCAAAAAAATAAAATAAAATAAGACCCAGTCTTATTTTCGGGGAAACGCGGTAGGTACTCCTTCCTCCTCCTGTTTTTCTCAGAACTCTGAGGGGCGTTGGGCTGAGAGAGAGTGACGAGCCCAAAGTCACTCAGCTGGTGTTTCATGCCTAAAACAGGATTACAATTCACAGTCTCCTGTTTTCTAGCTTGGTGCCTTAATCACTACGTCAAACAGGTTCTCTATAGTGGTCTGTGTCTCTTCCATCTAACTCACTTCAGGGGTCCTTGGTGCTTTCTGAGCTTGGTTGTTTTCTTGTAGACATTCCAATACCCACTAGTGCACTGATGACGTTACCTAGTTTAAGTAGTGAAACATCTGCAAGAAAACAACCAAGCTCAGAGAGCGCCAAGGACTCCTCATTTCAACCCTGAGCTACAAATATTCTCCTTTACTGGTAACTCACCTCAATAACAGAGATAGCCTTTGCTGGGCTTCAAGGGTGGGGAAGATTCACAGATACGTCTTTCAGATATTGCTGAGCCAACTCTTGCACTCCTTTGCCATGCTGCAAGTTGTAAATTAACAACATCTCGAAGCCATAGATTCCTCCACTTTGATATATAGTATCCATTTATATAAATGATCTCTACTGAGGCATCAGAGGGTTCTTACTCTTCAGGATAGTTCAGTAGAAGTAGGCTGTCTTTGTATTATCACATTTGTGTATCACTTTAAAAACTACACAGCTTTAAATCTCCCAATAATGACAGGTCCTCTGGATGACCTTAAAATAATTAGGAGGCTGCAAAACATTTTGTTTTGAAACATTTGGAGGGCAAATGCGATGCAGTTAATATAACCCACAGCCAGTTGCACTGCTTCATTTTTCATTATTTTAGATTTGGCCGAGGCATCACCGTACCAAAAGACTTTAAATAGAAACAGTTTTCCCTTCCTTTTTTTTAAACACTCCTTTTAAAGGAGATGACATTATTGAATCAGGTTTAGAAGCGAAGGTCTCTTAGCTTTCTGGGTCTGGCAAAATGTTTGCTTAACTCTTTCTTGCACCAGACTGGCAAATGTCAAGAAGTCACTTTTGTCCCTGAACAGCATCATTGTCTCGGACTGTCCCCACGCAAATGTATGAGGATGTGGCCGACACCCCACTCAGGACTTGCTCAAATACTGCAGGGTCTTCTACCATGGGTGAGTAAGGACACCTTTAGGACATTGTGATGGTAACATTCCAGTCGGTGATGGTATGACACTTTAGGATGGGGAGAACGTTTCGGCATTTAAAACTAAATACACATAGTTTTTAATTGTAACTAAATCTTGAGTCAATTCATCAGCAATGTTCAGCATCAACAGTGTACTTTTTACATCAGTTCTATTTTTGATGCCAAAGAAGAAAATATTGTCATGTCCCAGCAAACAGCAGCAGCTTTAATTAGTGAAATGCCTGCTTGGTTCTGTAAGACAATTAATAAGCACTTATTTTTCACCATTCATGCTATCAAAGATTAGCTCATATTCATTGTCTCACAAAGCGTTAATACAGAAAAAATCATTTCACTCTCCTCTCCCCCCCCAAAAATCACAAAAACTTACTTTATGAATAGCTTTTGTTTACTAAATTAACATTTAGAATAGTAGGGGATTCTAGTAATTTTATATCCATTTTAATTGATCTAACAAAAGCAACTCAAGTACCCTTTTGTTTTTAGCTGCCCTTAACTGAACTTAAGAAATGTCAAGGATGCTTCAGTATAGGATGAGAGAGGAGGAGGGAGGGAGGGAGGGAGGGAGGGAGGGAGAGAGAGAGAGAGAGAGAGAGAGAGAGAGAGAGAGAGAGAGAGAGAGAGAGAG